TCAAAATGCCCGGTCCCTCGATCCCTGTCCTTCCCCTGCTTTTCATGTTCATCTGCCTCCCAATCTATGAGAGCATTTTCGTTCCCGTAGCCAGTGTTAAGATGTGAACATAATTATATTTAGAATTATTGTAAATATTTTATACTTTAAAATATTCTTTTTGTATACTTTATACCTTAAAATATTTTCTTTGTAAACACCTATATATAGGTCATTGTACATATAGTATAATTAAAGAAAGCAATAAACCTTTCTTCAGATATTTCTCTTTCTTTTCAGTTTCTTACATGGTATCAGAGCTATAAGCTTTTGGTTCTTTTCTCTTATCATCGCTGTTGGGTTTTTTGGAGTTGGATTTTCAATTCCACTCCAGATCTGAAACTTTGTCATTGGGATCTCTTCTCATACAGATTGGATTGTTTATCCTCGATTTTCAAACCCTTTCTGAGGTATTTTATTGGTTTGTTATTTCGATCTTGACATCTATTTCTCCATATTTTTAGAGTTTTTCAGTATTGTGAGTTTACTGATTCTATGATGAGTTTTGAAAGGATTGTAACTCATCCTGCTACTGCTACGGTTGCCAAAGGAGTGATAGAACAACCTAATGTCAACCTTGAATCCCTAAAACAGGTGATATTAAATCTTTTTAATGCTCCTACTGCCTTATCTACTACTCCGGGTACCAAACCTTGGTATTTCGATTCTGGTTATTGTAACCATATGTCTTCAATTACTACTCATTTCTCTTCAATGTCACCTAATAATTCCTTTCCTGATATTTATTCTGCTGATGGTTCCCCTATGAATGTTAGTCACATTGGTAATGTTTCTACAAAGTCATTGACTTTACCAAATGCCCTTTTAGTTCCAAAACTTAGTTATAATCTTCTATCTGTTGGTCAATTATGCGATCTTGGTCTTGAAGTAACATTTTCTGCTCATGGTTGTCGTGTGCAGGACCCACGGACAGGACAACTTCTTGGAACTGGTTGAAAGGTGGGGCGTTTGTTTGAGCTCAACTATCTGCATATTCCTGATAATAAAATGGATACACCATCATTTCCAAATGATCGATTCATCCAAACCTTACTTTGTGCTATTGAATTAGAGTCTTTGCAAATTCCATATCAACAAATCTTCTAAGTCTGTGCTGCTACTAACATTTCTCCTCTCCATTTGTGGCACTCACAACTCGGACATACCTCTGTCGGTAAACTTCGTCCACTTATCTCTCGTGGTTTATTAGGATCAGTTCCGAATGAATCTGTGCATTGTGTGTCATGTCAATCTGCAAAGCAACTAGCTTTATCTTTTTCGAGTAGTTATTCTCATTCTACTACTCCTTTTGATCTTGTGCATTCTGATGTTTGGGGTCCATCTCCTACACCCACCATGGGGGGTTCTAGGTACTTTGTGTTATTTATTGATGATCATACTCGTTTTACCTGGATATAACTTATGAAAAGTCGCTTTGAATTACCACAAATTTATATTAATTTTGCTACCATGGTCAAAACCCAGTTCTCTAAAATTATCAAAGTTTTGAGAACTGACAATGCTACTGAATATCTTGGTACTAAACTTCAATCTTTTTTGAAAGAACAAGGTACACTGCCACAACAATCTTGTCCTTATACTTCTGAACAAAATTGGCGAGTCGAACGCAAACATAGACACATCTTTGATTCTGTTCGTGCTCTGCTCATTTCATCCTCTTGTCCAGAGCGATTTTGGGGTAAGGCTGCTCTTACAGCTGCTTATCTTATTAATCGCATTTCATCATCAGTTCTTAATAACCAATCTCCTTATGAGCGTCTACATGGTATTCTTCCTGCTTATAATCTTCTTAAGGTTTTTGGTTGTGCATGTTTTGTTCTTCTTCCACCTCATGAACATAACAAGTTAGAACCTAGAGCTCGATTATGCTGTATTTTGGGTTATGGGATTACACAAAAAGGATATCGTTGTTGGGATCCTGTGTCACAAAAACTCCGTGTTTCACGTCATGTTGTCTTTTGGGAACACACTATGTTCTCATCATTGTCAAACTTCAAAGTGTCATCCTCTCATCAACCTCCATTTTTTACTAATCCTTCTATTGAGCTATTTCCTAGTGATTCTAATGCAGGTACATCTGATGAGCTCTACAATGCCTCACCACATGCTCCAACCAGTTTTGTAGAAGATGATCTGCTTGCTGGTAATGCATTAGATCATTTTGAGCCTTCTTCTACTTCCTCGTCTACAAATGAGCTTGTTGTCACATCCTCGAGTCATCCTACTCGGGTAAGAAAGCCTCCAAACTACCTTCGTGATTATCATTGTTTTCCTGCTATTACTTCGTTACATGAGCCTCAATCCTATCAAGAGGCCTCTTTTAATCCTCTTTGGCAACAAGCTATGCAAGATGAATTGCAAGCTCTTGAGAACACTCGTACATGGGATTTAGTTGATCTCCCTGCTGAAAAATCTCTAATAGGCTGTAAATGGGTGTACAAGATCAAAACGCGATCTGATGGTTCTGTGGAGCGTTATAAGGCACGCTTGGTTGCCAAGGGTTTTACACAGGAGTATGGAATCGACTATGAAGAGACATTTGCTCCAATTGCTCGTCTTACATCTGTGCGCAGTTTGCTTGCTATCGCTGCTATACGGAGATGGAAATTGTTTCAGATGAATGTGAAAAATGCTTTTCTTAATGGTGACTTAGAAGAAGAAGTTTATATGAAACCACCTCCTGGGCTCCACCATCCTCCAAACAAGGTGTGTCGATTGCGCCGAGCATTATACGGGTTGAAGCAATCCCTTCGAGCCTGGTATGCAA